CGCACGGCGATCGATATTGCCAGGCGAGGGGGGGAGGGGGGGACAGCGCGCAGTTGCTGGCGAGTTGTTTACGTCGCCGCTCCCGCGTCTCGCGTCCCCATCCCTTGCCTGGCAATATCGATCGCCGTGCGGTCACATCTCGCTACGCGCTCGAATTGGACAATGGACAGGGCAAAGACGACGATTTTCGATAATTTTTTTCTCGTTAACTATTGCGAAAATTGCAAAATGTTTCAGGACTTTTCTGTTCATCTCGATCCGTTCTACCTTCTCACGAGCTCGTGGACAAATGTTATAACTCACCCTGTATATGTATATGCACTCTTTAATTGTTTACCATTGATTATATATATTTACAATACATAAAATATACATTTAATTTAATTTTTGCTTAAGAATTAGACGTACATTTTTACATTCTTGAGTCCTGAATTCTTAAATTACATCACGTTTTATTATGTTGAATTAATAAAGTTGCCTTATTTGATGTGAATGTTCTAACTTAACGTTAAATTTTTATTAGATTTTGTATGGGCAATTGAATTAAATCGGTTCGGTCTACAACTGGTCGGTTTGTGGCCTAAGATGGATGAAATCGTTAAGAATGACTACATGTCCGATCTTCGCGTGGTCATTATTTTCGTTCTAGCAGCCTTCGGCTGCGGAATCCCACTCATATGTTCTCTTTTACGCGTACGACACGACATGATACTTATGATAGATAACTTACAAATTACGTTACCTCTAGTGGTAGTTGTGTGGAAACTTGTCGTGATGCGGTGGAAACGGTCAGGTTTGTCAAGAATTATTTATCATTTAGCTCTGAGTTTGTTTTTGTCAAAAAATTATTTCGCATATGTTTCTCGTAGATTAGAATATTAAAGAGAAATTAGAATGTATTTTTTCTGGATGTATATGTATACATATATACAGGGTGTATTCGCCACGCACTGCCAGCCAATGCTAGATACAGTGGGCCGTACTATGACTCGAAAGGCCTAGCCACTTCCTCCGTGCCGTCTCGGCGCGTTCTTATTCGCCCGAACTTAATATTCAGTACTTATTTAAATTATTATTACGAATATTACAATACGGTATGGAACTGTTTTGTTCATTTCAATCCGTTCTACCTTCTCAAGATAATATTCATAGAAAACTACGGGACACCCTGTATACATATATGTACATGTATATATAGGGTGTTGGATTCGTTGGATATTGTTAATTAAATTTTTGTTAACTACACGATAATTATTGCGAATTTTGTAAAATGTTACACGACTGTTCTTTTCGGTTTGACTCAATCTACCGTAATTTTTATTTCGGTCCATAACGAATCCGGCAACCTGTATTGCATATGTATTAAAAGAAAAATGTGTAAATGACTTTTTCTGTCCTATGAATTAATGAGTAACTTAATACTGTTGCACAATGTATCATTTCTAAGCTCTCTTACTCATCGTAAAGATGATGGCGGAAGATTGGATGGCGTTGAAGCAACACGCAGAGAGGGACGTGATGATAAAGCGAGCGCGAACTGCACGACTGATCGTGATTTGTGGATATGTTTTGATGATTCTATCATTCACCATGATCATTGTTTTTCCTTGTTTTGGCAAGCCAATTAGACGTTTAACCAATCTCACAGATCGGAACAAGCCGTTACCGCTGCAGACATATTACTTCTACGATACAGATAAGAGTCCGCTATTTGAACTCACGCTTGTCATTCAGGCTATGACAATTTTCTTAGGAGCTGTAGCTTATACGTCAGTAGATGCTTTCCTTGGACATGCGGTCCTTCACATTTGCGGCCAATTAGAGAACTTCAGATGTCGATTAATCAACCTGGTTTCGTGCAAAGATTTTAATAGTGCTTTACGAAATTATGTGATCGAGCATCTGCGACTCATCAGGTTTTTTGCAGGTTTTAATTGTAATAATAAAATAATATTGCAGAAAATCAAGTTTAGAAAAACTTGCAAAAAGATTGAATCTTTCAAGATTTATTTAATTTTAAACTTATTCTCACATAATATCAATTTTGTTAATACTTGTATACAGGGTGTCTGATGCAAAAGTAGCCACTTTGCAAATAGCGGTAGATTGGGTTAAACTAAGGAGAAATATCATGTACCGAGGTACAAAGTAACAATAGTTACCGACAAAGAAATTTATACGTTTGAGCGAATGAGGATGCAGGAGACGGTAGGCCGGACTCGGGAGGCATTTAAGAAAATCGATCGATGAGCGGGAGGTGGAGCGACGCGCGAGATACACCGTGGTGGGAAAAAACCTAGGCCCGGCGGGG